GAATGTGTATATTGTTGTACAGTACAAAGTCCGTAATCCGGATGTCCATTATCCGGAATGATTTATAATCCAGACTTCAAAGCCACAAACTTACGCATGTGCGTAATGCGTTTACGCTTGCGCATAAAGAATTTACCCATGTGCACTTCCGATAGTGAAGAAAGTGAAAGAGAGGAAAAAATTTTGTTTGACAAGTTAGTCGGTATTTTTGACATAGCAATTATAGGACTTGAACAGTGGAACTTTGTAACTGAACAAGAAATGATGTCTATTTATAGAATTAAAGAAAAAGTATTAGCACAAAAAACAAAGCAACTTAAAATTACATTAAAGAAAGTTTAATAAAGGAAACAAATAAATAGTAAGATCATTTTTTTTTTTTTTTTTTTTGTAAATTTCCCTTAGATATTTTGCTATTATTTATAAATAGGTTTCATATTTTTTGTATATTCGCATGCCATATTACAGATTAAAGTTGAATCTATAATCCAGAAAAAACCATATCCGGAATGCCAAAATCCTACGTCGACTATGGACTTTGTACTTACTATGTTTGTTCAATATATAATGTCCAAATAGTCGTATAGATACTAAGTTCATCTTTAGTTAAGTCTTTATTTTGTTATAACTAAATATTACTGCGCCTACTATATGTATTTTTAATAAAAGGGCAGTATCCCATGGAAAGGCCATGATAATGCTGCAATATAGTACAGTACGTGTCATGTATAGGAAGTCAGTATTTAGATACTTGGTTTAAGTCTTCTTAGTACTGTTGATAATGTATACGATGTGTTAAGTTATACGATATACCACTTTACATATGCAATTATGTATCAAACATGTGGTACATATTCAGTGCAAGTCTTCTACTATCTGTTACAGTCTAAAGTATTACTGAGGCTATCCATATTAATTTGTTAATAACTGTGGCATGTATCCCCATGGAAAGGCCATTGATAATGTGCATAATCTATGTGCAGTAACCATGTTATGTAATAGCTATGCATAATAGCATACTATGGTTTAGTAACGTCTGATCATTATGCATTATTTTCAGGAATAATTCCACAGAAATATCCACAAAGGCATGATGGTATTTTCCTAGAACTTTGGACTCTCCACCTCTACTTTTGCTATTGTCTAAAGTAATCTCCCCCCACAAGTAATCGTAGCATTCCTATGCAAGGTGACTAAGCAACAATAAGCTACCCTGTCCATGAAACCCTTCAGTGGCAATGAATAAATTTATGTCTGTCTGTCCTACCCTGAGATTCTTCCACCAAACAGGCATCATTCCGCATTGATTTTTAGGATGGAAGCCTGCTCCATGGTGTACAGTTAAAATGAAGATAACAATAAAGTAAAATATCATAGGCTGACATACTGGATTAATATTTAAACATGAATAGAAGTGGAAGAGCTTTCCCAGACAACCCATCTGCTTCATCAACACCTAAAAAAAAAAAAAAAAAAAAAAAAAAAAAAAAATCTGCGAAGAAGTACCGTTAATAGTTCTTATGCCCCCTTTGTTGAATGTTACTCAATGGTCCTGTCTGTGTCTAGTAACATTTACAAGATTATTAGTAAAATCTATTGGATGAAATTAGAAAGGTCAAAACCCTATATGATATAATTTCCTTGAAAGTACAAAATTCAATACCATTAATATTAGAAGTCTGTAGGATGTAGACTACGAATTCTAAAAAATGCATACCAATATTTCTTATATTGTACATGCTTAATTGTAACTTGGAAAAAGAAATGTATAACAGACATGTTGAAATTCGTGGCTTTTGTTAAGCATGGTTTCATAAAAATTTCAAAATGGATCAACATGAAAGGGGTTCAGATACACAAGAAACATTATTTATATTGATGATGATGCAATTTAACTGCATTAGTAATAACTATATAAGTGATAAAGTGATTATTTTGTTAGGATGTTTTAGTAAAATAATATTTTCTTCTTATTTTCACCTTGCAAAACAATTACTTTAAGGATTTGGCATCATATTTGTTTTATAAATAATTAGATAAAAGCTCTTCTTGTTAAAATGCATTTTGCAGTGTTTATTTGAATTTAAAGGGAATATAAAAAATAATATAAATTATTTTACCAACCTTTACCTGCATTTCATTGGCAAGCAGCTCATGTTATTTGAATTTAAACCAATTACTTATTAATAAGCTGTGCTTAAGAGAAACCATTATTTAATTGCTTTCTTGTAATTAAGATTATCCAATTGCCTTTATTGAAATATGTTACTTAAATGTCTTTCCATTATTGTTTGATAATAATTGTGTGACTTTTTTGTTGCATATTTGAAAGGGGAAAAATCCATTCAATATAAACTAATTCTGTCTTGGTTGTAAAGTTTAATACAACACCTTGTGTTTATAGAATTCAAATAAACTAGATTTCTTAAATAAATAAATAAATAAAAATCTGAAAAAGTTCAGATTTTAACATTTTCGGTCATCTTACTTTATTATGATTAACATGTTTCGGTTCTTGTCACACAAATGTGCCGTTTTTCTTTCTCTAAAATATAATTGGCCAATGTGTTATTAAAACGAAACTGAAGAGAAAGGAAATGAAAAATCTGAAAGGTTTCAGGTTTTAACAGTTGCCTAAAAGGATTAAAAGGTTAAGGTTTTTACCCTCTCGCTGAGTTGAAGTCTATTAGTCTGCTGTTGCACTCACTCCTCTTAACCGTTTTATTATTAAGCATTATTAAGTTATTATTTTATTATTAAGTTTTATGTATTATTCTTTGAACTTAGGCCATACACAATTCAACAGAAAACTACAGAAATTTTAAAAGCAGCATATATTTAGAATTCCCAGTGAACTGTTGGCATATGTTTTTCAGTTTTTTTCAGTGTTTTCTTAGTTCATCATATCAATGTTCAGTTTTCTTATCAAGATGGCTTGCCCCCCAAAAAAGTCTTTTTATTATTAATGTGTATTTCTTTATTAAATATCACGTTCTTCATACTTATGCCACATAAAATTCAATTCAACAGCAAAATCTTTAAAAATGGCATTTTAGAATTTCCAACATATAGTGTTGCCACTACTCGCTTTCAAATCATCGAGTTTGTTAATAAAAAATTCATTAAGTTTTACAAATGGAGTATAAAATTCAAAATTCGGGCTCCAAGTGCACATGTTTGGGTTGAGGACAATGTTATTCAAAATTTAATCTCTGTAGGTACCATCATTTTTTTCACAATGTGAGGAACATACATATATTACATGGAGATTTTTCCCCGTTTAATTTCTTTGAATATAATACAGGGCGATAATATTAGGTGGCAACATTTTGAAAAGTGATTCACCATTTATAGTGGATGATGCAAAATCCTGCTATGAGACTACTAACCCATTTAGGCTAATAAACAACATTTTCTGAAATCACTTATTTTTATAAATATTTTGTTCCCTTGAATATTGTTTTAAAAGGAAAAAAATTCATGGTGTCCTTTATTCCTCTAAAGTTTGATATAAAATTATCCAGTATGGAATTTTTATCTTTATTAAATAAGATTTTATTAAAGGATATAAATATTTAATGAATCTTCAGGTAGCAACTCCTTGTTTGCAAATTATTTGAAACAACTGTTATAATTACATATTGATTTCATGTACAGTACAAAGTCTTTAATCCAGACCTCAAAGCTACAAACTTTTTGCACATGTGTGAATGCATCATGCATTTACGCATGCACATATGCATTTATGCATGTGCATAATACGTTTATGCATGCGCGTTTAATGTATAATGGATGGTATAAGCTAGGCTAAAATTATCTAATTATCTATTTCAGGTAATGTTGCAGATTGCGTTGTTCCTTAATCTTCTAATTGGATCCGGCTTATTAGTTTTTGCAGACTGGTTAGAGCAATTTTAAAAAGTAAGCTGAACTTCGATTATTAAAAAAGTTCCGATTCTGGAGCTGCCAAAGGATCTACAAAGCGGAAGCATGATTCGATGTCCACAACAAAAAGTAAGAATTGCTGAAAAAAAAAAAAAAAAAAAAAAAAAGGATAAAGGCATGAAAAGTGACAGTGAGGTTAGTGAAAACGAAAACATTCTATTGACAAGTCAGTTGGTATCTCGGCACACATTATAGGCTTAACAGAACCGGAACTTTGTAACTGAACAGAAATTATGTTTTTTATAAAATTCAAAGAGAATGTATCAGCACATAAAACGACAACTTAAACAACTTACATTGAAAGAAATGTTTTAATAGTAAACAAAATAATTTAAAGCTTTCTTTTTGTAAATTAGATCCCTTTAGATCAAATTGTCTTATTTCATAATTATGGTTTCAAATTTTTAATTTGTAATGCATTGCCATCTACCAGATTTAATTCTGATCTATAATCTGGAAAAACCCCTAATCTGGAATCGCCAAAGTCCCAAGGAGTCCGGATTAAAGACTTTGCACTGTATTTATTGCCTTAGTTTATACTTGATTTTAAAATCCTAAAGAAAAATAGTTTTGTATTATGATACGAAGTGGTTCAAGGAAAATAATATCTATACTTGAATAAAAGAAGCTATACTTGAATGTAACATTCCTCCTTTGTATGCCTTTATAGTATAGCATTTAATATAACCAACTAGCAAGTGGAAGGTTCATGCTTCTCACAAAAATATCAGGTAATTACTTGCACTGTGCAGCTTCATGAAAAAGTTTATTATTTTGTAATGATGCATGAAATTCTAGTGGAGATATTTCTTTTTTCCTTTTAATTTCTCTCTGATTGATGGAATTTGATGCAACTAAGGAGAGGAAATTTTTAATAGTGAGATGAATCACAATTCCTTTGTATAAAGTTTCAATCTTGGTCAGTGTTTGAGTACATTTTTTTATATTTTTCTCAATTTACTTTCTGCTCTGTGTTCTGTTCTTTATCTTGTGTCTTATTTAATTTTTTTAAGCTCGTTTATTAATATGACTATTATGTGCTGAAAATTCTGAATTTTTTTTTCTTAACAGTTTCCACCAACTTTAGAAATATGTTTTGTTCCTAAAACTGAACATGCTTCTCAATTTCCTGGAATATTTGTCTTCTCAAATCCATCACGAATGATGAGACCTGTTAAAAATATTAAATTTCATAGAGATGAACTTATTGGAACAATGGAGCAAGTTTATTTACAAGTTGCATTGAATTTCAGTGGTGTTATTCCAGAAGTAAGTTCTTTAACATGTTATCGGTCTAACCAATCATTGTGTTAATCAGTCTAATGAATAATGTTTTTAAAAATACATTAGTTATAAATAAATTAAAGTAGTTCATGAGCTTCTGAAAATTGCATAAAATACGTCATCCATTTTCAAGGCTTTTATGTATTTTGAAAATTTTATTTCAAAACGCATTCCTATACAATATTTTAATTCATCCCGTTGTTTCAGTTATGTGAATGCAACTAGAGTTGTTTGGTTTTATTAATGGCATTTTTACTATATCAGAATTAAATTGATTTGTCCCCACAAAATGAATTTTTTTTAATGTGGATTGAAATTGAAATTATGATCAGTACAGTTAAAATTTTAATGATCTGCATATGGCTGTAATTAATATTCACTTTTGAATGTAAGGGAATAAAATTTTGATATTTAGAAAATTAAGTATGATAGTGCCAGTTTCCCCCCCCCCAGCACTTGCATGTTATTCTGTTAACTAATGCGTAATGACCAATATGAAATTGAAGGGGGTCTGTAAAATGTGTATATTTTATATAAAATAGTTAATTTCCAAGGTGGCTGGTGTATAGATCAAGAGAAAAAAGAATGATCTAGGACTTACAATATCAATCTTACTTTCATTATTGGTTGATAATTTCATTTAGTTAAAAGTTTTACGTAATTTTTATTATTTTCATAATTTCAGGTAACTTGTCATCAAGAAATTGCTTCTACCAATATACTTAGTATACTTGCTAATCAGATTCCTTTCTCTGATCACAATCAAAGTCCTAGAAATATGTATGAATGTCAAGTAAGAAGTTGGTCACTTTATGTTAATTTTTTTTAACTAAATTCTAATTAATTTATCTATTGTTATATATTAATTTTCAGATTGCTATTTGTTTTTGGTTTCTTCATTTTAAAATTTTTTTTATAGATGGGCAAACAAACAATGGGTACTCCTTGTCTTACCCTTAAATACAGATCTGACAACAAACTATATCATTTACAAACACCTCAATCTCCTATTGTTAGACCCAAAAAACATGACTATTATCATATGGATGATTACCCTTTGGGAACTAATGCTATTGTTGCTGTGATATCTTACACTGTAAGTATCAATCAAATTTTTTGCAAAATGTCTTATAGTTTTTAATTTTATTTGCAATATTGCTTTATACATTCCGGGGGAGATGAGTGAAATTACATGTGCGCTCCTTATTTCATATGAGAAGATGAAGTTAGAAGTTTCAGTTGAGAATTTCATGCATGATGGGACTCAGGAGTTTAGGTTAATTTGTGATTTTTAAATACGTAGGGATGTGTTATATGTGTTTTTTAATTGATTTGATGTGCTATTCACGTATACCTTAATTACTCAAGTGTTGTAAATCAGTTGTGCATTATGTAATATGAACTGGCCACTGTGTGTTTCTGGGTTTGCAAACGCTGTGTATGTATGTAAAGTCCCAATCACGTATTTTTCTGCTATGAGGGACTGGACTTCCAAAGGGACAATTCTCAAAATTCGCACATTTCCACGAAACCCACTTAGCTATGCAACTATTTTTACTTACTACTAATACTTGAACGCCAAACAGTAATTGATTATTGCTCAGACTGGGTTAACGTGATCCTTCAGAAGTGGAACTTTCGTCTGATTGGTTGATCTCTACCTGAGACAGAGCTGCAGCCGAAATATTTTCGGCGAAGTTTCAAAAAGTCTCATGTAGCCAGTACATCATTTCCATAGCTAGGCGGGACATCGCTTCCAGTGGAGCTTTTTTTTTCTCTAGGAATCCTCCCATCTAAACCAGTGCTACCAGAACCTCGTTTCTCAGAAATGTCCCTTCTAACAGGGACCATTGCTAGATATGATGACCTCTTAAGTGTGCATGTGGGAAACTTCAGTTATACATGTTAACATAAGCCACTTTCATTTGGATGAGTAAAACATGCAGATAATTGGGGGTTTTATACATGCGTGTATGTTGCTCTAACAAAACGATTATTCAAAATACAGTGTGACCGCAGTATATGTTCAACTTGATATACATCCTGTTTGAATGTGAAGGCTTTGTTTGAAACTCGAATTCATTGAACTTCAGCTTTGTGGATTACCCTTGTTGACTTATTGTATACTACTATTCTGTACGACCTACGATAAAAACTCTGAATTATCATGTAATTTCCCCCCTTGTTTTTGTATGTGTGTGTGTGTGAATGTTTTGTAAATTTGTTGATAGTGAGTTTTGAAAAAGAAAAAGAAATTGCAAAGAATCAGGCAATGAAGCAAATGGTCATCCACCATGGAGTTGGAACAAAAAAAAAAAAAAGTGTTCAAAAGTATGAACATGACATGCATATTCAAGACTTGGCTACTACATAGCATATGCCAAATATGATGGTGTCTACAATTATGGTGGTATATGGTATATTTAATTATGGCAAAGCACACGAGGGCTATCTGCCTAAAGGGAGGGATGCCTTTCGTGGAGGACTTTCTAAGGGAAACTGGCTCGTATACACGTTACACATGGGGAAAACCATGAAAACGCTTATGCAGCCAGCCCGTTCGCGGGAATCGAACCTCAGACCGAACTACCAGTGTTCAGCGTCTTTACCGCTCGGCCGCTGGTGGGCTTGTCTACAATTATGAAACACCAAGATGTATCACTAGATCTACTATTATAAAACTAACTAGGCTAATATTGTGAATGATGTGAAACTGAGCTCCAAAGTCCAGAGGCATTAGAGCATGTTGAGAAATTACTTTTGATCTGTATAACAGAAAAGCATTTATTTCAGTATTTCATTCATGTACAGTATATATTTCATCCACTGCAATTTGTGGATGACAGCACAATTAAACAATGTTATTAATTAACAGTGTGTGTTAATAATTAATAATATTAAACAGTGTTATAACAGTAGATTTTTATAATAAGAACAGGTGAATTATTTTCACTTGATTTCTTATTGGAAAAGTTTATTTAGTGTACATCCGAGGCTCTGAAATGAGTTAATGTTATACACCAAGGTACCATTTTATATTGAAAATTTAATATATATTTAGCGGTACTATATTCCTTTATCAAAAACATTCAGTAACATTGGCTTTTATAAAAAGCTTTTCCTCTGACATATTTTCCCCCTTTTTTCTTATCCTCAGGCTGCTAACAATAAGGCACACTTAATGTTAAAACTGTTTCAAATATGAAAAACTATTTTCTGCTTCTTTAGTTTTCTGCTTGTGTCATGTCATGAACTATAGATTTGATTAATTGTGTTCTATATCTGAAGTAACTATACTAGAAACTAAAAATAATTTTTAAGTATAAATATTTTCGTAGAATTTACTAGGTGTATAGCTGCATGTATACTACACACACACACGCACACACACTAATGTGTATTTAATGAAACATTCCCACATTATAATAAAGCAAACTTGGAAGTAATGAACAGCAAGAATTTTGATTGCATAGATTGTTGATTCTTATTAAAAAGCAGACTTGGCAGCTGAGGCTGATTAAATATTCGACCGACTTTATTTTAATTGAAATATGCTAATTTAAATCATAATTTGATTTACATGTGTGTGTGCGAGCATGCATCTGTATTTTGCTTCAACATAGAGAAAGTAAACGTTTTATCCATTTCCCATAAAAGTCATAATTGTTGGGCAAATTGCATGTTTGCTTGCTATTTCTGCACATTCTAGTTATACATTTTTCACCTTGTGCAACTGCTGATACCTTTCAATGTGATCCACAAGCAGTTTGCATTTCAGTTTATCAGTGAAGTGTGAGGCAGGTCAGTACTACACAGTTTAACTAGTATCCCCTGTTCCCCTCACAGCACTAGGAGTGATACTGTGTCTGTTGTTACCCATAATTTCGTTTTTGGGGAATGGCCTAATATCTGAATACTCAGTAGTCCAATTTATATTTTTAAATTTGAGTCACTATAATAGCTGAAACTTAGTTAATGCAAAGAACCTTAGCCTTTTTATTGCTAGTCCTTCCATAGACCTTTAATGGCATGTCCACTGCTAAACAGCAGAGTTAGCTCGTGCTCCTTTTGATACTTAAAAGATAACAACAAATGGTATTTCAGCTTCATTTGAACAAAAATGGTAAATCATCAAATATTGTTTCAATCACCATCATTGATATTGCAACTATTTTCCATCATTTTTTATGCAGATTTCCAACAACCGAAGCATATTGTTTTACCAGTACTTCAACACTTTTTGATTATGATGAAATTTGGAACTTGCTTATAAGGGAGGTGCAAACTGTACTAATTTTTAAAGAAAAAAGGCCTTTTTCGTGCTTTATACAACTTGTGCAAAAAATTGCGAAATAAAGTTGTATTTTGAAGAAAGCATTCAATGGTGCTGCAACATTTCAATGTCTTGTGGCAAAAAAGAGCATTTGTAAAGAAACATGGGTTCAAATTATCGAGACTGAGCTTTTGATAATTTCGACCATGCCTGAGGTTGAGACATTTCTGAGTAAATACATAAAGTTTTCATTTTATGGTATTAGTTCTTTGTTGTATTTTAAATGAAATGAGTGAAAGTGATTTTTGTTTTTTGAATGTATATATATTCAAATGCTTTAAAGCATGTAGGCATTGTAGTTCTTCATACATAGCATCCTTAGCTGCTAATAACTCTTCTGGTTTTACTGGAAGACTCTTGGTTTTTAACTTTTAACCTTTGTTAAAAAATTGTTTTTCAGCAATAAAATTAAATTGTGCAAATAAAATTAGTAATTTTCTGCATAATAAAGTTTTATTTGATCTGGATTGTTTTAATCTACTGTAGACATTTATAGGTAAGGCACGTTCAGCTGCCCATGAGATCTTGTGGAGTATCTTTTAGTATTATCCATACAAACTGCCACTAGTGCAGCAGTAGCTTCCACATGATTTTGATGCTCAACTGCGGTTCTTACTTCCGTTTCTTGCTTACTTTGAGGTTGATTTGGAATGGCATTGGAATATCCTCTGGACAAATGAAGCACATTTTCATTTTGACAATGCAGTGAATATAGTAGAATCCCACAAATTGGACTAATATGGACAGAATGGGTGACGAGTTACTAAAAATTTCGAACTTTACTAAATTCACAACTACAGTATACAAAAAACAAATTTGTATTTACATATTCAATTAATGTACTAAAGAAAAATTTAATACATAAAAGACTAGGTTGTCATTGTTTATTATCATATTCACTTTGAAAATTCTCTGTGATAGTAAGAACTTTTCATAATTTGTTTATTATTTAATCATTAATTTAAAAATATAATTATTTGTAAGAAATGTCAATGTAAGATTAATATTTAGCTGTCAATTATTAATATTAGCTGTTAAGCCTTTTTACAACTTCTCCAGAGGTGTTTATTGTTTTCCGTAAACGGACGTGAATAAGGAAATAAATATTAATTATTTTCATACAAACTCAGGTGCATAATTTTATTTTGCATTGAAAAAAAATTGAATAACTAAAGAGAAAGAGACTAGGTTGTTATAATTTGTTCTCAAGTTTTGTCCCACTTGCTAAATGTTCTCTGAAAACTTGGAAATGTTTCATGATTTCTTTATTTTGAATTTAAATTAAAGTTTTTGACTAATTGAACATATTATAATTTTTTTTATATATTTCAATCTGAAATATTAAAATTTAGCTGCTAATATGTTTGAAGTACAAAATGTAACCAGAAAAGTGTCCTGTGGGTCCTTTATATTTCAGACAAAATAATATAATTTGATTTTTTTGTATATTCTTATTACTTTTTATGTCTTTTTCGGTAAATATTTAGTAATTCAAAATTTAGTTAAAATATTTTTTATTGATACATATTTTTTTTTATTCTACTTAAAAAAAAAAAAAAAAAAAAAGACTGTCCCATTAGCTATTTTTAAATCGTGCATTTGGTTGTCATGCTGTCTGAATTCGAGACCACTATCTGAAGGCATAAAATTTCATTCTAGTTGTCATATCAATTTGTTTTGTTTCCTTCTCATTCAGCATTTTCACTTGCATAAACATTATCACAAGGCAATACTTTGAACCCATATGCTGAGAAACTCTAACC